TAATGTTTATTCTCTTGTTGACATTGCTAGTGAATACAGGAAAAAAGACAGGTTTGTAAAAACTATATTTGGATCCTTCTAATGAGTCCTAGTGTCTCTGTTCAGAATTTCTCTGAGCCTCTTAAATGTCACAGCAATATCTATTGCTCAGATCATTGTTCACCTGCTTTTTGCAGCTATTCTAGCTGATGTGGCCATGATTTTTATGAGAAAAAGTAATCCTATGCAAAGTTTACCATAGATGTAAGCTTTAGGTGATTGGACACACATGATGATTATTATTATACAGGATTTATATAGCACTAACCGTTTGCTCAGCGATTTACAAAATGAAGGGAGGGTTAGGAGGGCCCTGCTCCTGGAAGCTTACAATCTAATGAAGGGCTGGTGCAACAAAAGGTAATAACTGTGGGGGATGAACTGATGGGAAAAATAGAATATTTGGTTTTTAGCTGAAGGGTGGGATAGGTTTCCCTGAAATATTTTCAGGGTTCTCCTAAAAGTGGACAGAGTTGGTGATAGTTGTAAAAATTGGGGCAGTGGGTTCCAGAGGATGGAGAAGTCCTGGAGACTAGCATGAAAGGAGGAGACAAGGGAGCAAGAGAGCAGGAGGTCTTGGGAGGAGCGGAGAGGACAGTTTGAGTGATATTTGGAGACAAGATTGGTGATGTAATTTGCAGCATAGTTGTAAATGGCTTTGTTAATGTTTGGGCAATTGACAGAGAGGGATTGCAGATATGGAGTAGTTTGTAAGGTGGATAAGTCTGGCAGCAGGATCCATGATAGACTGAAGAGGGGATAGCCTGCGATTAGGGAGGTGCAATAGTCAAGGTGAGAGATAACAAGGGAGTGAATAACTTGCTTAGTGGTTTGTATTTTGGACATGTTACAGAGGTGACGTCTACAAGATTTGGACTGTGATTGGGTTTGGAGTTGAGAACAGATCTGAGTCCAGGATTACACAAAGTACCCTGGCATGAGGGGGAGGGACTGATGATTGTATTATTGATCTTCATGGAGAAGTCGTGGGAGGGGCACGGGCTGGAGGGAATAGTATGAGCTCCATTTTAGAAAGTTTGAGGAAGTGGTGTGACATCCATGCTGATATGTCAGTAATGCAAGAGGAGACTGAAGGAGTGAGGTGAGTAGAGAGATTTGTCATTTGCATAGATGGTGCTTGAAGCCATGGGAGTTTATCAAGTGACCAAGGGAGGAGATGGAGAAGAGGAGTCTGAGGACAGAGCCTTGGGGGACCCCTACAGCGAGAGGACGTGGAGAGGAGACAACAGTTATAGGTAACACTGAAGGTGCACTGTGATAGGTAGGAGGAGAACTAGGAGAGAGCAAAGTCTCGAAGGCAAAGAGTAGAGCTTTTGAAGAGAGGATGGTCAACAGAATAAAAAGCTGCAGAGAGATCTAGTAGTATGGAGTAGTGGCCATTGGTTTTAGCAGTTAGTAAATTAGTGCGTTTTAGTAGGGCAGTTTTCGGTGGGGTGTAGTTAGCGAAAGCCAAACTGTAAGGGGTCAAGCATGTTGTCAGTGAGGTAGGAGCTCAGACGATTGTAGACTAAGCGTTCTAAGGGTTTAGAGGTAAACTGGAGCAGGGAGATGGGTCGTAAGTTGTTCAGGTTGGGGATCCATTAAAAGATAATTTTGTAAATTTGATAAAATTGAGTAAACATAAGTCTAAATACACCCCCCTCTACCTTGTGAATAAAGATATACTCACCTAAGTTAGCTGTCTTGCTCCCCTGCCAGCACCTCTTTAGAGTGTGTGAACAACACCAGTTAATCACTGTTTGACTTCTCTTCTGGATCATAACACAACCTCTGGACAGCCAATAGGAAGCACCCATGTCACTCAGACAGAGGTGTTGGCATCTCAAACAATTGAAAAACAAAAGGTAAGCTTATGCACACCCAAATCACATCAGTGAATAAAGTGTTAACTGCATGAATACAGATGATGGAACCATATACTGGGTTTCTAAAAGACCCAGAAATAATCTATAAGTAAATGGGCAGCACTCAAAATAGTTAAAGTTTTTTTTTTTTTTTTCCCGTATATGAAAAATCAACATATACAGACAAAATAGTACCACAGTACATCCACAAGATCTCCCTACCGTTCCTGTCTTAAGACAAATTCTGAGCTACAAGCAACATACAGTTGTGCTCAAAATAATAGCAGTGTGTTGAAAAAAGTGAATAAAGCTCAAAATCCTTCTAATAGCTTTTATTTCCATACACACAAATGCATTGGGAACACTACACATTCTATTCCAAATCAAAACATGAAGAAAAATGTATCAAATTTGTGTTCCTCTAAAAATAAAATTGAAGAAAAGTGAATATTCGACTGTTCAAAAAAATAGCAGTGTTTGTATTCTTCTTTACAAACTCAAACATTCACTATATAAAGTGAAAAATGTTTGAAGATTTTGCTTTCCTTTGAATCACTTAATGAATATTTAGTTGTATAAGCACTGTTTCTGAGAACTGCTGTACATCTGTGTTGCATGGAGTCAACCAACTTCTGGCACCTGTGAACAGGTATTCCAGCCCAGGATGATTGGACTACATTCCACAGTTCTTCTCTATTTCTTGGTTTTGTCTCAGAAACTGCATTTTTGATGTCACCCCACAAGTTTTCTATTGGATTAAGATCCGGGGATTGGGCTGGCCACTCCATAACGTCAATCTTGTTGGTCTGGAACCAAAATGTTGCACGTTTACTGGTGTTTGGGGTCGTTGTCTTGTTGGAAAACCCATTTCAAGGGTATTTCCTCTTCAGCATGAACTCTTCAAGTATTCTGATATATTCAAACCAGTCCATGATCCCTGGTATGCGATAAATAGGCCCAACACCGTAGTATGAGAAACATCCCCATATCATGATGCTTGCGCAACCATGCTTCACTGTCTTCACAGTGTACTGTGGCTTGAATTCAGTGTTTGGGGGTCGTCTGACAAACTGTCTCCGGCCAATAGACCCAAAAAGAACAATCTTACTTTCATCAGTCCACAAAATGTTGTGCCATTTCTCTTTAGGCCAGTCACTGAGCTCTTTGGCAAATTGTAACCTCTTCAGCACACGTCTTTATTTCATCAGTGGGACTTTGCGGGGGCTTCTTGCAGATAGCTTGGCTTCACATAGGCGTCTTCTAATTGTAACAGTACTCACAGGTAACTTTAGACCTTCTTTGATCTTCCTGGAGCTGATTGTTGGCTGAGTCCTTGCCATTTTGGCTATTCTATTCATTCGAATGGTAGTTTTTCGCTTTCTTCCACGTCTTTCAGGTTTTGGTTGCCATTTTTAAAGCATTTGCGATCATTTTAGCTGAGCAGCCTATCATTTTCTGCACTTTTGTTTTCCCCTCTCCAATCAACTTTTTAATCAAGGTACGCTGTTCTTCTGAACAATGTCTGCAACAACCCATTTTCCTCAGAATTTCAGAGAGAAATGCACTGTAACCAGCATGTACAACATTTGCTGCCTTCCTTCCTTAAATAAGGGCAATAATTGCCACCTGTTTTTCAAAGAATGAATGACCTCACTAATAGAACTCCACACTGCTATTATTTTGAACATGCCCCTTTCAATTAGTGATTCAATTACACAGAATCAGCAGCATGCATGTCATGACTGTTGGATCTGTTGGATTTCTATTACTCTACTACACCTGCTATTAAATTATTTGCCATGTAGAAATATCATTTCTACCAAAAACAGTGATTGATCAGGTTAGTGATGTCTGACTGCTATTATTTTGAACACAACTGTATTTATTTTCATTAGAATAGGTAGGAGATCCAGGCTAATAGTACAGCAATTGCCAAACCTCAACACACATGAATAGAAACCAGGAAAAAAAAAAAAATCTTCCGCTGACATGCGGACACTTAGGATCAGGTGGAGGTGGGAATCAGAACGTTTTGCAATAAAAAAACAAAAAAAAAAACCCTTTAAGTGAGATCCATTTAGGATGACAGCGGAAGACTTTTTCTGGTTTCTATCCATGTGTATTGATGTTTGATAGTTGCTGTACTATTGGCCTGGATCTCCTACCTGTTCTAATGAAAATGCATATGTTGCTTGTAGCCGAGTTTGTCTAGATGAACTGTGGGGAGATCTTGTTCATGTACTGTTTTGTCTATATACGTTTTTTTTCTTTCATAAATCTATGAAAATCAAAATGTTTAGCTGGTTTGGAGTGCTGCCTGCTTACTTAGTGATGTGGATGTCTGAAAGACTCCGCTTTCTGATAAAAGAGAATGCTCAGGACTGGAACACCAGGTGAATGTGGCTTTAGGTGAGTAGAGAGGTCGTTTTTTTTTTTTTTTTTTTTTTTTTTTTAATGCTAGCAATCAAAAGGAAGGGGAGGGGGTTAAGCCTGCAGATCAACTTTATAATTGCTTTCTAGAAAGACTCCCGAAAATTTTCAAATGCTAAATAACTTTTCACTTTTAATGTGTAAATGTGTAAAATGTTGGTGTTTTTATTTCCTAAACTTTCCAAGCATTGCTATTCATGCTTTATTTCAAATGTTACATTGTGTTTATCTTGACAGTTTATGGCAGACTGAAGGTAACCATGTAAGGGCAGCATCAAACTTCCCTGCTGTGGTTTTGTTGAAGTGCAGTTAACCTGTGTTTTTTGTGCAGATTAGGTGCACTTTCTCATAGACTTCTATGGGATCATGTGGTTTTGGTGCGGAGTCAGTGCACCAAAACTTCTGCATATGCTGCCTGTTTTTGGTGCGGTTTCAGAAAACTGCTGGACCTCATAGAAGTCTATGGGGAAGCGCAGCTAACCTGCTTGGAGCCTGTGGATTAACTGCTCTTTGCCCAAAAGCACAGCGGGACAGAACTGGGGCAGTGTGATGCTGCTCTAAATGTCATGGTAAATCATAGCACATAGTCTTGTCTGAAACTGCTATATATTTTATTACACACATTTAAAATGAACGTGACTTTCAATAGTCTTAAACATTTTGCAGACTTGGTTACAGACTTGAAGGGACATGCGGTCACACAAGTAGCAATGGGAAAAGCTCACACATGTGTGTTGACTAAGAAAGGAGAGGTGTGGACTTTTGGTGTAAATAACAAGGGGCAATGTGGAAGAGACACTGGAGCTATGAGCCAAGGCGGCAAAGGTAACCATTTTTAACATTTTATCTTCTTATTCTCATTCTCCTTTTAAAAAGTTTAATTCTCATACTTTAATTCTTTCATGTTTCTTTTTATCTTTATTTTTTCTTTATATAAAGAGTGCGTGTGTGTGATTGAGAGATATAATTTATTCGGGTAAAATAAGTATTGAACACGTCACCATTTTTCACAGTAAATATATTTCTAAAGGTGCTATTGACATGAAATTTTCACCACATCTAACAACTCATGCAATCCATACAGACAGACAGTAACAAATAAGTTAAGAATTTAAGTTATGTGCTTTCATAGAATAGAATGATGCAGGGAAAAAGTATAGAACACGCAAACTAGAATTTAATATTTTAGTTCAAAATCCTTTGTTGGTAATGACCGCTTAAAGACGCCTCCTGTATGGAGAAACTAAACGCATGCATTTCTTGGGTGTGATTTTGGCCCATTCTTCCACACAGTCTTTAAATCTTGAAGGTTCCGTCTGCCTCTTCTATGAACTCTGATCTTTAGTTCTTTCCATAGATTTTCTATTGAATTCAAGTTAGGTGATTGGCTGGATCATTCTAGCAGCTTTATTTTTTTTTTTTCCCTTTGAAACCAATTGAGAATTATCTTGGCTTTGTGTTTGGGGATCATTGTCTTGCTGAAATGTCCACCCTCATTTCACCTTCATTATCCTGGTAGATGGCAGGGAGTATGTGTATGTATGTGAGAAATAAAATTGTGCTCTAAGCTTTTTAATGAGTCTGCTATAGTTGTGATCTGAATTTTATGTTAAAGTTCATCACTTGTTTAGTTCTTGTTGTTCAAATAGACAGTCAATGTTTTGTGTTTTCAAGGACATGGCATTCGTGAACAAGTTTGTGTATGGTACTACTTCTATTTATTCATGGTGTTTATGTAGAATATCAAAGTGCATCTCTGCATATTTAGAATTAGAGATGAGCGAAGTATTCAAAAATTCGATTCGGCTGATTCTGAATTCGAGGAATAAATTCAATTCGATGCGAATATATTCGCTACGAATTTAACTTATAAAAGGGTGTTTCTAGGCTTCAGAGAGCCTTCATATTAGTGCAGAACACTGTACCTTTAATTTAAATGCCCTTGGAGTCTGCTGGGGAAGAGAAATAATACTGTCAGTCAGTATGACATGCAGATGAGTGCCGTCGATCTTAGAATCACCGCACACCTCACTCATTTGGGCAGTCACGGGGCCAAAACCAGAGTGTGGAGCCACAGTGTGGCGGTGGAGGCAGCAGCAATGGGAGGCCATACAGCACCTTATATGACAAAAATGGAACCCACCAGCAGTGTGAGGAGACCTGAAAGTGGCACATGGCAGAGTGTGGCGATGGAGACAGCAGCAATGGAGGCCGTACAGGGACCCATGAGAGACTCTGGACCTGGCAGCAGCATGAGGAGTCGGTACAGGGGCCCATGGCAGATTACGGGCCTGGCAGCAGCAATGGGAGGCCCGTAATCTGCCAGCACCCTATGACAAAATGGAACACACCAGCAGTGTGAGGAGACCTGAAAGTGGCACATGGCAGAGTGTGGCGATGGAGACAGCAGCAATGGGAGGCCGTACAGGGACCCATGAGACACTGTGGACGTGGCAGCAGCATGAGGAGGCGGTACAGGGGCCCATGGCAGATTACGGGCCTGGCAGCAGCAATGGGAGGCCCGTAATCTGCCAGCACCCTATGACAAAAAATGGAACACACCAGCAGTGTGAGGAGACCTGAAAGTGGCACATGGCAGAGTGTGGAGATGGAGACAGCAGCAATGGGAGGCCGTACAGGGACCCATGACACTCTGGAACTGGCAGCAGCATGAGGAGGCGTTAAAGGGCCCATGGCAGATTACGGGCCTGGCAGCAGCAATGGGAGGCCCGTAATCTGCCAGCACCCTATGACAAAAAATGGAACACACCAGCAGTGTGAGGAGACCTGAAAGTGGCACATGGCAGAGTGTGGCGATGGAGACAGCAGCAATGGGAGGCCGTACAGGGACCCATGAGAGACTCTGGACCTGGCAGCAGCATGAGGAGGCGGTACTGGGGCCCATGGCAGATTACGGGCATGGCAGCAGCAATGGGAGGCCCGTAATCTGCCAGCACCCTATGACAAAAAATGGAACACACCAGCAGTGTGAGGAGACCTGAAAGTGGCACATGTTTGGGGCATGATTCATGGCGGATTTAGTCAGTTGTGTCAGGAACTGGTGGTTTGAAATCCAGACTAATCCACGCCTGATTCATTCATTTTCACAAACGTGAGTCTCTCCATTCTTTGGGTGGACAGTCGTGTCCTCCGCGGAGTTACAATACCTCCTGCCGCACTAAACACGCGCTCCGATGCCACGCTACTGGCCGGGCATGACAGCCTTTCAAGGGCAAATTCAGCTAGTTGGGGCCAAAGGTCAAGTTTCGTTGCCCAGTAGTCAAGGGGATTGTCTACCTCGGTTGGCAGGGTGCTGTCCAAGTAGGCCCAAGCCTGTTGTTTGAGGTCCTGCTCCAGGTCCATCTGCATGCTGCTGCTGCTGCGGCTGGTTAGTAGTTTCCTCACTGCGCTGGTGAAGAAAGCTACTCATCATCGACTGCAGACTGAGGCAGCCGCTGCTGGTGGAGCTGCCACTGCTCCTACCACCCCACCCCTCCCCTGCTGCCATGGCAGCGGAACGTGAGCGCACAGGGCCCACAGTGTCTGAGGATGGACGTTGGCGCAGAAAGGCAGAGACCAACTGACTACATAGGTGGTTTTTATAGTACGTTATTTTGGCCTCCCTCTCAGCAGGTGTGAAAAAGGCCACCATTTTTGAACGGTAGCGAGGGTCCAACAAGGTGGACAGCCAAAAGTCATCCCTCTGTCTGATGGTTATTATTCGGCTGTCGCTACGCAAGCAACCGAGCATGCTATGGGCCATTTGTGCCAAGGAATGCGAGGGACTCCCTGCCTCCATCTCCACAGCATACTGCCACGGTGCGTCTGGGTCCTCTGTCTCCTCCTCCTCTCCCCTCTACCAGATGCTCTTGCTCCTCCACTCCTGTCCGCTGAGTGGAAAAACCACCCATTTCACTCAATAATTCCTGAGCACAAATGTCCTCCTCTACCTCCTCCTCTTCTTCCTGTCCTGCCCACACATGGGTCATGTGGCGTTGAGATCTGTGCGCCACGTCTACCGCACCCTGACCAGCCATTAACAGCATTTGTTCCAGGACGTGCAACAGAGGAATGACGTCGTTCATCCCATAGTCCTGCCGACTCACGAATAGCGTGGCCTCCTCAAAGGGCCAGAGCAAGCGGCAGGTGTCACGCATGAGCTGCCAATGGCTGACATCAAAGTTACACAGGGGAGTACCTTTATCCGCTTGTAACATCAGGAAATCGGTGATGGCATTTCGCTGTTCGTAAAGGCGGTCTAACATGTGTAGGGTTGAATTCCACCTTGTTGCAACGTCGCAGATCAGGCGATGCTGTGGAAATTCCGTTCTGCCGCTGCAGCTCTCAAGGAGGGTGTGCTTTGCGGTGTAGGAATGGCTGAAATGCATGCAAAGTTTACGTGACATTTTAAGGATGTCTTGCAGTGGGATGGTGGATTTTAGGAACCGCTTGACAACCAGATTGAACACGTGAGCCATGCATGCGCATGGCACAACCTTCCTTGACGCAGAGCAGACACCATGTTCTTTCCGTTGTCGGTCAACATGGTTCCGATTTTCAGTTTGCGCGGAGACAGCCATCTGTCGATTTTCTCTGTTCATTACACTCAGAAGTTCCTCCCCTGTGTGACTACGTTCGCCAAGGCATACCAGGTGCAGCACAGCGTGACACCGTTGCGCCCTGCACATGTGATATGCCGGTCGGGTAATGGGACTTGGCACGGGGGTGGCGGCTGAGGACACGGCGGAAGAAGAGGTGGTAGAGGCGGACATCTTTTGTGGACCAAGGACGTGCAAACGTGGAGGCAAAAGCGGCGTGACCTGTCCAAGTTGCTGGTGCGGCTGTGCCGGCACCACGTTCACCCAGTGGGCCGTAAATGACATGTACTGTCCCTGACCGTAGTTACAGCTCCACACGTCGGCGCTGCCGTGCACTTTGGCAGAGACCGACATGCTCAAAGACTGGCCCACCATCTCTTCTACATGTGAATGCAGGGCTGGCACTGCCTTTTTTGGCGAAGAAATGACGGCTTGGCACTCTCCACCGCGGCGCGGCACAAGCCATCATTTCTCGGAAAGGTGCTGAGTCCACCACTTGGAAAGGGAGGGACTGCAGCACCAGCAACTTGGACAGGAGGACGTTCAGCTTTTGCACCGTCAGGTGCGTGCTCGCAAACTGTTGTCTCTTGGAAACGGATTCCAAGAAAGACTGCTGACGGAATCCGTGAAGAGGAGTAGCAGGAGAAGGAGCATCTGAACGAGCGGAAGATGCCAACGAGCGACAACTCCCCTCAGCAGAGGTGTTGGAGCCTTGACTGGCTGATAGAGGGCGATTGACGTCGGGTGACGGAGCAAGTAACGGAGCGGGTGATGAGCGGGGGCTGGGGCAGGCAGAACCGCCGTATCTTTATCACGGTTTTCCCAGGCCACCAAATGGCGACGCTGCATATGCTGACGCAACGCTGTAGTCCCAACATGGGCCCCCTGGCCACGCTTGACTTTCTGGCCACATAGTCTACATACGGCTACGTTTACTTCCTCGGGCGGCTTGACGAAAAATTGCCACACCGCCGAGTAGGAAACTTTGCCCCCGATACTCCTCACTGGCTGACTGCTACTTCCTCCGTGCACACCGGCACCACTACTGGCCGTGGTGGTAGGCTGCAGTGGAGCTGGTGCTCTACTCCGTGGCCGTTTGCCTCCACTGACACTGCTGCGACCCTGCTGCCTCCTGGGCAACCCACCGACTGTTTTGCTCGCTGCCAAGCTGCCACCCTCTTCTCCTGATGATGCGGAAGCAATAGCCTGATGACGACGAGGCTGCCAAGTGCGATCAGCCTCATCATCATCAATTAGGGTCTCCGCCTCACTACTAGCCCCCTCGGCTGCGTGTGGGTCGGGAGACAGACCTGTCTCTAGACCGGCTACCGAGCCACTCTCCTCGCCACTACTTCTTCGCCTGGCTGCTGAAGAGGCAGATGTCTCCCCCCGTTCCTGACCGCCCTCTGTTTGCTCTTCCTCACTGTACAGTGGGGCTGAGCCCACAGCATGCGATACTTCACTTGGTGAGGGAACACCAAAGGACAGGGGCAGGTAGAGGACACGTGATTTCAGTGGGCTTGCTCCCGGGCCATGCCAACTAACGGTTGTGTCTGACGTACCCACCGACCGTTGGCTGTAGGTGTCAGAGGTGACCTGGGAAGAGGAAGACGACCGAGCCAACCAATCGATGACGGCAGGGTTGTCGGTGGAGACACGACCGCTGGATGACACCGGGAGCACTGGCCTCTGGCTGCGACTAGTGCTGCCTCGACCCCTTCCTCTGCTGCCACATCTGCTCGCTCCTAAAACATTGCCTCCTCTGCCACTCCTCTGCATGTTGTCTGACATACTCTTTAATTCAACGATTCTGTGTCCCTGAGTAACAATTCTGTGTCTGTCCCTGAGTAACAATTCTGTGTCCCCCTGAGTAACAATTGTGTCTGTCCCTGAGTAACAATTCTGTGTCTGTCCCTGAGTAACAATCTCTGTCTGTCCCTGAGTAACAATTCTGTGTCTGTCCCTGAGTAAACAATTCTGTGTCTGTCCCTGAGTAACAATTCTGTGTCTGTCCCTGAGTAACAATTCTGTGTCTGTCCCTGAGTAACAATTCTGTGTCTGTCCCTGAGTAACAATTCTGTGTCTGTCCCTGAGTAACAATTCTGTGTCTGTCCCTGAGTAACAATTCTGTGTCTGTCCCTGAGTAACAATTCTGTGTCTGTCCCTGAGTAACAATTCTGTGTCTGTCCCTGAGTAACAATTCTGTGTCCGTGTCCCTGAGTAACAATTCTGTGTCCGTCCCTGAGTAACAATTCTGTGTCTGTCCCTGAGTAACAATTCTGTGTCCCCTGAGTAACAATTCTGTGTCTGTCCCTGAGTAACAATTCTGTGTCTGTCCCTGAGTAACAATTCTGTGTCTGTCCCTGAGTAACAATTCTGTGTCTGTCCCTGAGTAACAATTCTGTGTCCGTCCCTGAGTACCAATTCTGTGTCCGTCCCTGAGTACCAATTCTGTGTCCGTCCCTGAGTAACAATTCTGTGTCCTCCCTGAGTAACAATTCTGTGGCCCGTCCCTGAGTAACAATTCTGTGTCCCTGAGTAACAATTCTGTGTCCCTCCCTGAGTAACAATTCTGTGGCCCTCCCTAACTCTGTCCCTGAGTACAGCCAGGTCTGCCTCTCTTGAATGACTGGAGGCAAATGGAGAATTCTAAAATGGCCGCAATTTATAGCTCGACCATTACACAGTGCTGGCTGGCTGCTGCTGATTGGCTAATGCGATCACATGTCATGAATGAATGCATTATGGGTCAGCGCGCCTTGTCTGCGCGCCTTCCCAGAGAACCCCGCTCCGTCGCCGCACCTGTCGCCGCCATTTTTGGAAAAATTTTGATTCGCGCATCCGAAGTCTGCTTATTTTCGGATTCGTCGCGAATCGAAATTTTCCTGATATTCGAAACGAATTCCACTTCGCCAAGTTCGATTCGCTCATCTCTATTTAGAATCATAATTAGGATACACACAAAACCTTCAATACATTTCCTTTTTCTGTACTGTTTACAAGCTGCTGCTTGAAATTTTACAAACTTTCAAAGTCTCATTTGATTTAATGAGAAACTGCCTTTGTACCTGACTGGAAGGCCTCTGTCTGCATTAAACAGAGGTTTCCAGTTTTGACAGTTGTAGTTTTAAAACTCTTTCTAAAGATACAAAGTATTTTCTGTTTATCTTGACACTAACTTTACACTCACTGGCCACTTTATTGGGTACACCTGCTCAATTGCTTGTTAAAACAAATTGCTAATCAGCCAATCACAAGACAGCAACTTAGACGCATTTAGACATGGTGAAGGTGATTTGCTGAAGTTCGAACCAAGCATCAGGATGGGGGAGAAAAGGGGGATTTAAGAACATGACATGGTTGTTGGTGCCAGACAGGCTGGTCTGAGTATTTGAAAAATTGCTGATCTGCTGGGATATAAACGCACAACCATCTCTAGGGTTTGCAGAGAAGGATCTGATAAAAAAAAAAAAAAAATATTCAGTGAGCTGAATTTGTGTAAAGCAAAAACTGCCTTGTTGAGGTCAGGAGAATGGGAAGACTGGTTCAAGATGATGAGCAACAGTAACTAACCACTCGTTGCAATCAAGGTATGCAGAATACCATCTCTGAATGCACAGCACATCAAACTTCGAAGCAGATGGGCCACAGCAGCAGAAGACCACATCAGGTGTCATTTCCAAGCGAAGAACTGTAAAAAAAAAAAAAAAAAAAAAAAAAACCCCTGTTAATTACATATTAAAAAAAGGCAGTTTTTAAATGCAATTGCCGACTTTTTTTTTTTTTCCCCTCTATAGCTCCAAGAAGGAGCTGTCATTTTCTGAGGGCTAAAGGAAACAAAGCGGTGGGTGACATTACCCAGTGACCCTGCCCCTTTGTTTCCTTTAGCCTTGGGGAGTGACAGCTCATTCTCTGAGCTATAGTGAAGATAAAAAGCTGGTAATTCCATTTAAAAACTGACACTGACCTATAGACAGCCAGTCATTGTATACATTGCTCCTCTACTGCCTTTCACCCCCGTCTGCAGTACAATCTCCTGTATTGGCACTTGTATTGGCTAAATATTTTCCAATCGGCAGGTTATTTTCGGCTGATATATTTTGACGGCCGAAATTTCAGTGCATCCCTATTAATATACAAATGCTGTAATCATCATTAACATCTGTAGTTATAGGCACATAGAACCCTATGTGTTCATGGAAGCACAGGGCCCTAAACACAGGTGCTACTTAATACAGCATTGAGCCCCATTCAGACGCTTCCCGCCATAGCACCTGTCCTACTTGGGTGCACTAAAATGCCAGGAGGTGCTCGATGCTCTTATGCAGGCCATAGACAGGTCGTTTATCAGTCGAAATTTTCGGCCGCATGAAAAATCTGCCGATAATCACGCCGTTAGTGGGGCCAGCCCGTCGACCGCTTTTCTCTGATCTCATTTACTTTTATCAGTCATGTTAGAAAATCCACAAAAAACGGCCATTTTTCGTGGACATTGGTGGCAGCATTGCTGCCAGCAATGGCCGATTTTTCATTTATCGGCCTAAAATTCGGACTATAAACAACCCATGTATAGCCTGCCTTAGACAGCCCCACATGCAAGCCCTATGCTTGGTGGCAGCAGAATCTTGACAGCCTGCTAGCCTTTCAGTGTATATAAATTACTCGCAGTAAATGTAGTGAGGGCTTGTGTTAAAGCTGTTACTTTGTGTGAGTGCATTTGGTGCCCATTCACACCAGGGTGATCTGTTGCTGTGCATTTATTGCATACTTAAATAGGGATGCTCACAATATACAAATCTTTGAATGTGACTAGCATTGGGAGGAAACATTTTAAATCTTAGGTCTCTAAAGACATGGCCGCACAATAAAGTTAGATGAGAAGCTGTTCAATGTTAAACTGTGTAAGGGGCTCTTTACAGTTAGAGTGGTGAGGATGTGGAAATTCTTTCCACAGTTTGTCAGCAAGTAGAGTAGATAAATTAAACTTTAGTTGTGTGTGTTGGTGAGCACAACGTACAGGGTTATGGAAAATGGTAGTGACATATATTCTCAAGTTAAACTGGATTGATTGGTGTCTTTACCAACTATGTAAAGATATCTGAAATATAAATATATCTATGCTACATCATGATGTTTACTAGCATTATAAACTAACATGTACACCATCAATTTTACCAAATGTATATGTGCAATTCTTTCAGCGGGCTAGCTAAGCTTGAGTAAACTATCCGTTTAAACTCTTAAATAATCATTGGATGCTTATAAATGTCTACTAGCTTCAAGGTTGGAGCCTTTACATAATATTTTGTATTTGTTCTCCCTTAATTTTACATATTTTGTTACAGCAGGATTTGGAGTTGAAAAAAACATGGCAACAGCTATGGATGAAGACTTGGAGGAAGAGCTGGATGAGAAGGATGAGAAATCCTTGATGTGCCCCCCTCGAATGCATAAATGGAAGTTGGAACATTGCATGGTTTGTACAGTCTGTGGAGACTGCACTGGATATGGAGCTAGCTGTGTTAGCAGTGGACGCCCAGACCGCGTTCCAGGAGGGTATGGACTTGTAATTTTAAGGTTTACTGAGAAGGTCTCAATTCCATCTTTTGGCCCAGTATACACAGACATCTTTGTATGCACACTTTATGAGCATCGGTAAGCCTTCTTAAAGCCAGTTAAAGCAACCTATGTCATCTAAAAAAGAAATAAAAAACTATGTAAGTTCCCTGTAAGAGAAAGATGGCATAATCTCTGACAGACAGTCTTTCCTACCTTCACTCTTATTCAGTGCTGCAGCCTCTAGTAGACACTTCAGAATTTTGTCACTTCAGTTTAGAGTTTAAGTTCGGTATCCCCTGCCCCATGCTGTAGTTCAGTTATCCTTCTGTCACTGCTCAATCTTAGACTGATGTAGTGGTTAGAGGATGCTTTAACCTAAATGCCTGTTTATACTTAACTGCAGCATTTACCAATCCTTTAGCAAGCATTAACTGTCTTTAGAATCTGAAATCAACATTGCAAGACAGTAGTTGAAAGATGCTTTGAGACATCTGCTTTATAACCAAGTTCACCTTTTTAAAGAGAAACAAAGAAATGATAAATGCACATCTTTTTTGCAGGTAAAAAAAATTAGCATTTATTTTTTTATTAGCCTGAAAAAGCCCTGCACTTGCAATCAGCAAATCACTGGTGAAGTGTCAGGCCCCTGGAGACTCGGTGTAGCTGCATGCCTGTACTTTACGGTCAAGCTACTGTAACGCTAATTTATGAAAAAGGAGATTGTATAAATGGACTTGATAGGCACAGAAACTACATGCGCAAAAAAGTAACATCAATATTCCTTTATTTCAAATCACATATAGACAATTTTGGATAAAATATTGTTGTACAGTATACCTGTAATGAATGTCCCAAAGCCCACAATATATTCAAAAGGATGACATACAGTGTAGCAGTTACCACCAAAGTAATCCTGTAGGGGGGGGGGGGGGGGGGGGGCAAAGAACATTCAAAGGCTGAAGAGAATGCCCACCATGTTTTGCGATGACAGTCGCTTTCTCAGGGGCTAATTATATATCTGAAAGAGACACATATACTTAGACAAACAGAAAATCATGAACCGCAAACGCAATTAAACATTGTAAAAATGTTGAGTTTAGCACTTACAAAATGGACCATTATGCACCAGACAGCAGTGGACCCTTCAATCACACAGGGGAAAGCCTCCTCTGCATCCAAGATGGGGGGGAGACAAATAAGAAAAACCTACCCGTCAGGGCAATGGCCCCTAATTGCATCCAAAAAGGACCATAACCGTGTCTACACTGTATATATCATTCCCCCATTGGCGGTCTACCGCAACGTGGCATACAACAGCCAATGGGGCTAAAAAGGGAAACAAATCACATTACACATCCGTATGACTATCTCCCCAATACCATGTCAAGCAATTGCCTCCGTTGAATCAAAGTTGGCTTACCAGTACTTGGCCATTAAGATCTCAAAGAGCAAGAACACCATCCAGGGCTGCTGCTCTAACAGGAGTCATGGGACTGAGCGGCAGCCCGCGGCGTTATATGCACCCCGATCCGACACGCCACGTTACCGATGACAAGTGACTGCCCAGGCACGATACTCCCGTGCATTCGTCGCCCTGGAGAAGGCAGCTAACAGTGGGCCAGAAACTGTGCGGGATGGGCCGACTGCCCAGAGGGGCAAAAACCGCGGCTACCCGGCCACATATCAGACCAATTAGGAATTGACCACCTAACCCCAGCCAAGGAAAACCAGGGGAGCAAGAAGCCGGTCCAACCCCCACTGACCAAAAGGTCCACCACGGCATGGCACACTCTTTAACAATTTTACAATGCTTAATTGTGTTTGCTGTTCATGGTTTTCTGTTTGTCTAAGTATATGTATCTTTTTTAGATATATTATTAGTCCCTGAGGAAGTGACTGTCGTCGCAAAACATGTCGGACATTCTCTTCAACCTTGGAATGTGCTTTGCCCCCCCCCCCCCCCCCCCCCCCCCCAGGATTACTTTGGTAACTTCTACACTGTATCTCTGGTTGTCATCCTTTTAAATATATGGTGGGCTTTGGGACATTCAATGCGGGTATACTGTACAACAATATTTTATCAAATTGTCTGTGATAAAGGAACAGTGATATAACGTTTTTGCGTATGTAGTTTCTGTGCCTATAAAGTCCATTTATATAATCACCATTTTTATAAATCGTATATACCAGGACGTGGTATATACAGTCAGCCGCAACTGTTGACAGTAGTTGTAGTTCATTCACTGAACTCTGTAAATCAGTGATGTTACCAGGTAGGTGGTCCCCACGCTATCATGTTGGATCTGCTGATTTTAGAACATGTTACACCCTGAATATGGATGTAACCTGTTCTGAAAGGTGTACTTATTAAGGCTGACTTCATTAACACATGGGAAAGGACACATTTCACAGAAAAGTATGTGTGGTTTGTTGCAGTGCAGGTTATTCTGAAAGGCACCAAAGTGCACCTTGCAAATGCACAGCACCTTAGTAAACAGATGGGAAATTATTTGTACATTCTGGTGTGTTGCACAAAATAAAAGGAACTTGTCTGCTTGTGTGTTGTGGTGTATTGGCAGCCCATTAAAAAAACAAAAAAAAAAAACAAAAAAAAAAAAACAAACGGGATGCTACAAAGTACTGCAGAGGAGTGAAGAGGGCCTTAATGTTTTCTAGAAGCACGGGGAATGTTCATACTTGCATTAACCTGAGACTGAAAAAATAAGTGTGTCCTGGGCCAAATGATACTTGCATTTACCTGATTGTCTGTCTTACATTCCTTGTATTTCTCACCATTCCTGATGTATTTTTATATTGCAGAGTTTGCGGCTGCGGTTCTGGAGAGTCCGGCTGTGCAGTGTGTGGATGTTGCAAAGCTTGTGCTCGAGAACTGGATGGTCACGAAGCACGGCAAAGAGGAATTCTTGATGCAGTGAAAGAGATGATACCTTTGGATTTGCTCCTAGGTAAAGGTGTGAAATTTTCCATTTTTATTTTTTCATTTGTCTGTATGTCCCTTGATTTGGGTTTTCAATAGATTTAGGCTTTACATTAAAGTGTACATGTGGGTAAAATATAACAAAGAAATTGGTTTGGCTTAGCTCTCAAGTGCAAGCACATTTCCTCCATGGTATGTTGCTTTAAAATGACTACAAGTACAGTAAAATAACAATAACTGCTGATACAACTAAACAGCAGGTCAAAAGATTCAGCAGCACTGACCGTCCAAAATTAGCTGCGTTCTAGGATAATCTACATATGTATCGCTAGGTTTACAGAGGGCCTAGAACCAGGCTACTGCATGGTGATATGCAGCCCCCTCTTGTATTTGTTTATAATGTGTGGGGGGAGGGATTATTCAGTTCTGCAGAGAAACAGTTAAACTTTTGGGGTTTTTGTCGTCTTGAATCCTCTTTCAGCTGTGCCAGTGCCAGGAGTTAACATTGATGAACACCTACAGTTACGTCAGGATGACAAGAGACAGAGGGCGGTCATCAGGAGACACAGGATAGATGAAGGGAGAGGTAAACTTTCCTACTGAAGTTTGTGCAATTTAGTTTACAACTGGAATAATAAACCCTGGATTATATTGGTATATTTCTATGTGAATACCTTTCATGGATACACAGCTGTCATTATTTCCTGTTTGATTTTATAAATGGTTAATCATTCATGTTCATATTTGTCTCTAAAACTAAATAGAAGCTGTATTTTTGTATTGTCATTTTATTTTTTATTTCTCCTTTTTTAGGCAATAATAATAATAGACCTAATGGAAATATAGGTATGGCGACTATCCTGATAACTGGTAATTGTTATGAGTATATTGTGAGCCTGTAGGTAAACACGTGCACTTCTTAAAGTACAGGAGATTGTGAATCACATGGTGTTGGTTTCAGATTAGTATGCATTGCCAAAGGTACCTTTTTTTTTTTTTTTTTTTTTTTTTTTTTAATTTAAATTTAAATTTTATATTTTTGTAACTTTTTCTGCCTTCAGATGTCAGTTCTGTTTTTTCTCCTTTTTACTTCTGTGTTTGTTTTTTATGTATTTATATGTGTAAATATAATGATCCTGGAGCTTCAAATCTGTTTATTTACCAGTATTCAGTAGCTGCTTTAGCAAGGGACTAATCCTAAATCCTAATCGTTAATAATTGCAGCACATATCAAAGTCTGCAGTTTGGTTTCTGAGAAGGTATGAACTGTTACCTGTGAGTAAAATAACCACAAATATACACAGGATGGCGATATAAAACATTTACTAATTTATGTATTGTACATTTTCTATTTTTATATTTTTTACCTAAATGTTGGATACCTTAGGTACTGAGCTGTGATGACATACCATCGTGGAAACAGCCATGTTATTTTTCTGCTCCTCTTCTTTTTGCACCCTCTCCCTGCAGATGTTTGGGAAAACTGATCTGTGTACTTGCAAAGTAATTTAAAGCCTAAATCTATTCTAATACTAATAAAAATCCCTAAATGGCTAAAAAGTAGCCCAGGCTGTCTTCAGTCTTCTGGATTGAATGACTCCTAGCCACACTTCATTCTGTAAATGCAAGGTATCTTGGACTCATCCCTGAGAGGGCCTCACTGCAGTGCTGTTCATTTATAGTGTATTGATGCAGAGAGGACTGGTAAATATAAAGTACAACACGGTTGCCGAAGGGTCACTGGAAGGCAGATGTGAAGATAACATTAATCTAGTACACTGCATCATAACCAAAAGTATCTCCAGACAATTTATTTTAGCTTTGGATAGAATGGGCTAGGGTAAAATGTATACCTGTGATTTCTTTAGGGAGCATTTATTACTTGGCCTTGTGACATTCATAAAAGAAAGTGGAGAGTGTGGTTGTCATTGAGACAGGAAAGCAGACAAAATTATAAGTACTGTCCTCTGCTAAAAAAAAAAAAAAAAAAAATTATTTATATATATTTTTTTTTGTCAGGGAGCTTTGTCACCACTTCCTAGCTTGACAGATAGCTGTCCGAATCCGAAATGCAGAAGAAAGAAAAAAAGTTACAATTTAAAATGGCTCTAAAGCCTGAACATGTTTTACCCTAACGCAGTGGTGGGCAACCTTTTTTTTTCAACTGAGCCAAATCTCGCCAAAACCACGATTTGAAATTCATTTTGAGAGCCACATTTTTAAAACTGAAAATACATCCCCCATAGTGTAATTCATCCCCCATAGTGTAATTCATCCCCCCTATAGTAATTCATTCCCCATATTGTGTCAATTCACTTACCTTTGCTCCGCGCGTTCCTCTCGCCGTGTTCCCGCGCCGTTCCGGTCTTCAGGGCGGACTGTGAGAGGAGAGGAATTTGTCACGCTGCCCTGCCTACATCCTGACAGCCAATGTTGGCCACGCTCCGTGGGCCGGATTAAAACATCCGCCGGGCCGGATTAAAAGGTCCGCCGGGGGCCGTAGTTTGCCCATTGCTGGGCTAGCTGCAGAGTCCTGACTTTTGGGGCGGCCGCCCGAGAGGAGGGAGGGGAGCGGGCGCACGGCACACAGAAGAGCCACATTAAAATGTGTAAAGAGCTGCATGTGGCTCGCGAGCCGCAGCTTGCCGACCACTGCCCTAACGTATTCACTGCATTAAGGTAAAACATTTTTAGGCATCAATATTCGCCACTTAAGTATTTGTAGAACTTTGCAGGGGGACTAGGGAAATACTACATACGCATATATATTACACTTACAGCTTCTGGTGCCCTCAGGCTTACCACTCTAGATTAATATCCTATAGAGATTTGTTTGGAGTCATGTGCTCTGCACTGATTTACAAAAATTAATTGGTTTTCTTGACATACCATTCTGGTTAATGGTATTCTTATTAGCCACACCCCTCTCAGCCTCTCTCCATATATGGACAAGTGGTATTCATGTGCTTTTTGTTCACACTTAGTTTCAGTAAGCTTGATTTTGGCTAAGCCCCAAACGCACGTTTTCATAAGAGCTACAGTGATCCATTACTTGCTCATGGAAAGTCCACATTTATTTGAACTTCACTGGTCTCATCACCATATGACTCCTAACATTTAAAGATCCGGAGATGCCCAGCTTTCTTTAGTATTGAAAATGCTTTAAAGAGAAAAAATTATACGTACCTAGGTGGATGCAGCATCGCTCCAATGCTGCATCTGTCCCCCTCCAGCTCTGCAGTGAAAATTGAGCTATCAAACTCTGCCGATCGCTCAGTTCTCCCCCTCTGCTCTGAGCAGAGAGCTGTGACTGTCAGGCACTGGCTCTCTGCTCTTCCAGGGCTCACTGGAGCACTGGGCTGTGGAAAGGGTGGAAGGGGCTGAATCAGACTCTGTGGATTGCTGAGAGGTTGAGCCAAGTGCCGGTCCAGGCTCCTGGGTGGATCTTGACCATATGAACGGGATCTTTTCAGAGCCTGAACCAGCCCTGAGACATCAGTAGACAACAGGGCTTCAGCCTGCTGTTGGCTGAGAACTGATTTACAGGAGTACAAAACTAATTGCACTCTTGTGATCCATAGAAGCATAGCCAAAATAGCTTTGGCCATACATCTCCTTTTAAGAAGTGATAACATTTTGCTGGCAAGCCTATAATTGGTGCGTTCAGGCAATTCCCTTCATTTGAGCTGACATCTTTGGTAGAGATCATTGGTGCTTTTAATAAATGTGAACTTGTTTAAAAAGCTGATAATTTTTCTTTTCCGCATTTTTAAATGTTTTTGAATCTCTGCACCCTGTAGTGTCCATACGTTCTTCATCTTATGGTTTTTAAGTGTGTGCAGAGCCAATTTTTATTTAAAAAGCAAAAAAGCTGTAGAATAGAAAGGGAAACAGAATGCTTATTGCCCACAGTAGGCAGATTCTTTATGAAATTTCCTTGAAAATGTCTAGTTACTGACTTTTCATTTCTGCATGCTTCTATTTTTTAGCCATGGTTCACATCGGATGTAAACTACTTCAGTGACTTCATATGCGTCTTCATACACAGATGTTAAAAAGGGTTGCACATGAAATCGCACAAAAATAGTACAGGAACTTTTTTGAAAGTCGCTGAGACTCCAGTTGCCCTGTTTTTGAATGGTTCCATAGCAGCAAATAGGGTGCAACTTGTCATGCGATTTGAATCTGTCAAGTCGTATGACAAGTCGCACCCAGTGTGAATGGGGGCTTAGGGGTTTAAAGCAGAACTTTACTCATCACTTGATAAAAAAAAAATGTTCTTTAGCAAGGACCATAAAATCCACATTAATTATGCTACCAAAATTTAGTAAGTTATGTAAATTCCCTCCAGCATTGCTCTTGTTTTTGCTGGAAACATTTTGCTGAAGCACAGAGCCCCTGAGCAGCAGTAAATCTTTGGGCTGCAGCAGATCAGCCTACATGATCAGGACAATGCCAAAATATAGACAGAAACTGAGCATGTGCAGAGCAGGGTGAGACTGTGTATTACTGGATTTAAAACTATATAGGCACTTTTTTTTAATGTTTTACTTATAAGCTATACCTGTAAAAGGGGCCAGCTTGAAGTACTCTAGCAGGGCTTAATTTTCTGACTAAAATTTTATGGTCTGTCAGCCTTCATATTAGACATGTGATCTCTTTGTACTAGAGAAACAGCACCTGTGGTGCTGTCATGTTTGTGAATTGAGCTTAAAGATATGTGATTGATAAGGTGTGGAATCAAGAAAAAAGTCTAAACAAAGAAACCACTTTTGAATTTATCCCTTTAGTTCTTTGGTTTAAGTGCATGTGTGTAAGACACTTAACTCAATATGTTGGAACATGAAAATGTCTTGTCTAGTGCATGGAGTGGCCTTAAAACTGTTAATTTTGTGTAGACTCCAGTCTGTTGCAACCCATACCTTTTTGCTTATAACTCTCTGGGACTCAAGGTATATGAGCTAACTTACAAAAATTCTTCCCTGCCCCATAGCTATGGCCACTACTACCTTGTTTGCAATCAGAATTAAAGCTGGCCAAACGTAGTAGAGGTTAGAACAAATGTTCTTGTGAACATTCATATAAAATTCTCAGTACATTTCATGTTTTGACCATTGTTGTTCAAACGCGCTTCAAAATGGTTTCCTATTAGCATTTGATTTTGGCATGAATGTAATTTTATTAAAACAAAATAAAATCACATTCAGTATTAACAATTAATTCGAGAAATTTTCAATCCTGCTGCTCGTCACTGTGGTCGACAGCTAATGTTTATTTAACCTGTCTAAAAATGAGAAAATTGACCATTCCTAAAATGAGAAATTTTGAAGAAAACCCTACTAGTGTATGTGGCCATCTTCACCATTGGGATAAATGCAAGTTAGAGAGTGAAGGTTAAAAGCATAACAAGATAATAGCTGTTCTATGAAAGGGAATACTAGATAGAAGACAGCTTGAGTTTGGAAATTCTTAAACTACTAATCCCTCTGGCTCCTTGTATAGGAGATGAAGAGGAAGACCTACTTAAAGTCCAAGTCAGGGTAGCAGCTTGGGTGACAACCATGATGCCCTCCATAGATACTCATG